TAATTGCACCGAGCATTTATGCAGCTGCAAGTTATTAGTGGATGTGGTGGGAAGAACAGGGAAGAAAGTCAAGTCGGCCATTTATTTGACAGATATTTATGAGGCCTGGTGCTCAGCCCATTTCCCTGTGCCGTGGGGGTGCTGGGCTTGTAGACAGAGTGCCATGGATAAGGTGGATACTAATTTCTGCAAGGCATTTAGTGAGCCCTTTGTAAATGTTCTTGTGGACAGAATAAAGAAAGGTGGGCTGCCCACCAGGGAGATTGATAGGGACGTCTGATAAATGTTTGGTGTCGCCTGGAAGGAGATCTGTAATGTCAGCCCTGGGGGCTCAGTGTTCAGCTCTTTTTAATTCAGCATTTGTTATCGATACCTTAAATGAAGACACAAAAGAGCCTCTTGATCAGCTTAGTGTAAAGCTCTTGGGCTCTGGGTTTCAACTGGCTTTGACACTTCCAAGCCCAAGATTTAAATTCTGCAAGATTCTGTTTTCTCACATGTCAAAAGAGAATAACAGTACCGACATTATAGAATTACTTTGAGAATGAAAGGAGATATAAATGTTAGCACTAAGTGCATGCCTAGTATTCCAGGAAATGTTCTAAGGAACAAATCTGCACAAGATATAGACAGGAAAGCTAACCGATATGGTTTATAGCAAGATCAATATTTAAAATGATTCTGGCATATTGGAATAAGGAATGAATAAACAACATTTAAAAGGAATAACAAGATTGTTTAGTTGTTTGTAAGTTTCAACAGGGCCGGACCATTTTTATATTGCTTATCAGTATACTCCCAGCATCCATTATAAAGCTGGGTAAACAGTAGGTTTTCAAAAAAAATGGTCATTGAATGAACAAATGAATGAATGTTAAGACCTAAATTAAGGTACAAACGTAATTTATTTCAGTTTTATTGAGATATAAACTGTATAAGTTTAAAGTTTGTATCAAAATTACTTGACTAATATATATTGTGAAATGACTACCACAGTAAGTTTAGTTAATATTCCAAATCTCATATAGGTACATTAAAAAAAAGAAAAAAGTGTTTTCCTGGTGACCATAAATCTGATCTCTTTTTCTGTGCATTTTTTTCCCTTTTATATTCCACATATAAGTGAACTCATGCAATATTTGTATTTCTCTGTCTGGCTTATTTTATTTAGCATAATGTCCTTAAGGTCCAGCCATCTTGTTGTCAATGGTGAGATTTCCTTCTCTCTCTCTCTTTTTAAATGGCGGAATAGTATTCAGGTATGTGTGTGTGTGTGTATACACCAGGTTTTCTTTATTCATCTGATGATGAATACTTGGGTTGTCTAGCCTATTGTAAATAATGCTGCAATAAACATAGGAGTGCAGATAATTCTTCAACATAGTGTTTTAATTTCCTTCAGATACATACCCAAAGCAAAAGTAATTTTTATAAAGGACTGAAGTTACACACATGAGAAGACATAGTCCTTCTTCAAGTTGCTCATGGTCTGGCGGGCCGAGAGACAGGCACAAGAACAATCACAGTGTGATAAATGCTGCCATAGAGCGCTGTGCTGGGACTCCTGAAGCACTTTACTGAGTTCTGGGGAAGATGAGCCACAGGGTAGATGGAGCAAAGCCTCGGAGAGGCAGGGGGTAGTCAGGTGAAGAGAAGGCAAAGAGGGAAAAAAGAAGGTTTCAGGCAGAGGGAGCTGCACAGGAATCAGAGGTGAGAAAGCGCTCCAGTTGGATTCTCTACAGCTATAACTGAGTTTAAAATGGAAAGTGGCTTCGGGTGAGACTGGAGAAGTAGTAAGTCACGGAGAGCTTCATACACGAAACAACTAAGGAATTTGAAAAGTGTTCGCTAGACAAAGGGGAGTCCCTTAAGTCTTTTCCTCAGGATAATAATTGATTTTTGTTTCAGAAATCTTATCCTTGCCACAGTCAAGTCATGGATTGCACAGCATGTCCAGTCAGGAGACTGCTGTAGGAAAACTGACAGGAAGTGATGAGGTCCTAAGCCACGGTGATTCATAGGGCATTTAAATTGTAAGAATCAGAAGAGAGGTCTGGATTCATACATTTTTGTGAGTCATCCAAATATGAGCAATAACAAAAAACAGCTTATAGACACTGCTCAGTAAGTGTGTGCAATATACGAAAAGATGATGGAGGCTACCTTGGAAAACAGCGCTAGCCTTTAAATGGGGAACCCAGGAAGGAGCCTGAGGTGAAGCAGTCACAGCCGGAAGGAAAAGGTGGAGAAGTAAGCTTTAGGACTGCAAAGGAGGAAGATCTCAAGGAATCAACAAGGATCAAGAGGTTGCAGAGAGGAGCTGATATATTCAGGATTTGGTCCTCAGGCGATCACCCATGACCCCACGGGGGCACATTTGAGTAGGATCTAGGCTGCAGGAGAAATCAGGCTGTGGTGCTTTCTGAGTGAATTAAAAGTGAAGAAGCAAGAACAGTGAGGACAGATATGTTCTTATCAGAAGCTTGACAAAATATCATGGAGAGATTTTTAAACTATGGAAAGAGCTGGATGGGAATCTTCGGGCAGAAAGGGGACCAGGAGGGCATGCGGTCTCAATAGCACTTCATGGGGAAACAACTGAAGGAGAGGCAGCTGCAGGACATTTGGAATGTTCCAGATATTTAGAGATTGAGAGAAATGTCCCAAGGAGACAGTGTTAGGGAAAAGATAGCTGATACACAAAAGTGAACTTTAGCTGAACATAGATAAAACTGGAGAAATATCGTTAGCCAATGATATAATGCTGACTCTTCACCAGAATATGAACTGGTTTTTGAAGTGTTCTTGCGGAACCTCGCTACATGTTGGATCAGGAGGTACAGAGGCATTCTAGATGTTAGTAAAAGGTGGGGTTAGATGGTTTTAGACATGTCCCTCTGAACTCCTAAAATTAATCTTGCTAAGTGTGAAGTTATCAACTTTTCCACCATATCTAACCTATGTTTCTGATAGAGAAAGAACTTTCCTCATGACTCTGAAATAATTTTAATATTATGCAATATTAAGTCACTGATGATGTTTCATTAACATTGGCTGAAATATATGAAAAAAGCCTTTTGGAAATTCTTACAAAGATCAAATGTCTAATTCTTCTATATATCTTCATTCTTCTCTTAATTTTGAAATAACTGAAGGTGAGCATGTCTGTGTATTTGAGGATTACAGTTCTCTTTTTTGGGGATGGAGAGGCTTAATCTCACAGATAACTGTTTACATACTAATTAGTAAGATATTAGAAATTCTTTTTTTCAAACTCAAGTGCCTGGCATCAGAACGAAATTATCCCAAGAACAAGATTTTATTCTAAGTGTGTACTCACTCCTATTTCCTACTCTTTCTTGCCTACACACACATGCACACGTGTACACACACAGTCTCTTAATAAAATAAGGTAAAAGCAATGGAAGAATAGGAATGAAAAAAAATGGGTTTGAAGCACAACTATCTTTGCTAATCCCCTTATTTAAATCTGGTAATAACATTTTTATTAACCAATAAAATTTTATCTATAAAATAATAATAAATGGTTCTTAAGTGAGTAGGCATCTGTGGCAAGCACAGTGTCAGGCACAGAATAAATCCTTAAAAACTTCTCTAATAGGACATTAAGTGCTTGATTTAGGACAAGGGGAATTTGGCCAAATGTGGAGAATAACTGCATTGACTATTAATATTTAACTTTGCTGCATTTGCAAACATTTCAGGTAGGCAGAGCTCCCTCCATAGTAGAAACACTTATTCAAGGCCACAGCCACATACAGCAAGCTGGCATCTCTAGCTACTGCTGCTTTGAACATCGAATTGTTACAGAGTCAGAACTCATGTATGAGCAATTACTTCCTTAATATTCTTAAGGACAGTGCTCCTTAGTTCTCTATAAACTAGGTCTACTGTGACAGAAACTAAAATGATTGCTTAGGGACCACCAGACCTTATCCAAGTGGCTTCTTCACAGCTTGAACAATCTTCAGGTCTGTACCAAGTGGCAAATAAGATAGTCGTAAGTGGAGGAGAGTTCAATTATTTGAACAATCCCATGTGTATGTCCCACGGGTTTCTATTAGATTTGAAAGTTGCTTCTATTGTGAATTTATGCCCAAGTAGCTAGCCATGCAGAATGTTCTAAAATAGGCAGCAATAGTGCTCTGATGCTCACGTATTTCTCAATGTAATGGCTGCCGCTCTGCTCAGGACAGCAAAACTACGAAATGTAGGCTTCTTATAATTTTTTAGTGCAAAACTTAAAACTATTCATCTCCCTGTGTATAAAATACTCTGCTACATTAACATTTTTATTCAGCAGAGGCCTGTTATGTTTCACTCAAACTGTTAGTAAACTATGGTTCATGTCAAATAAACTTCTTCTACTAAGCAGTGATATTTATAAAATGACACCTCCTGGAGATAACCACACATCTTGAAACAGATTCATTGAGGATAATATAAAGTTGTTTTGAGGATTATGTAAAGATTGTATGGTTGATTTTGCCCCCAATAAAAAAAAACCTTGGTATATACATAATTACATAAGGTTATTAATATGCCTATATGTTCATATGCACACACATTTATACATATTTATTGTTAAGTTTAGAATAAAATGTATTTATACATCTCTATAACCAATGTATTTATATATTTCTATAACAGAAATATAAGACATAGAAAGAAAAATAAATACATGTCCAATGAATAATAGGGAACTTCTAAAATTTATGTATGTATTTTTGAAGATAATTTTTTTTCACTATAACATTTTATTTTTATCATAATGAAAGTCCCCTTGCACAGTGCTAGTAAAAATATCTAGAGAGAGGATACAAATACATGTAACCACTCCTTATTGAGGCAAAGGGCAGAGCCAATGCAAGAACTTGTAAGCTTTGGAATCCATAAGCATTACCAGGTAGAAAGAGCCAAAACGAAAGACACTCAGGAGAACAAGCCAATGTAAATAAAAACTCCTTGGTACAAGTAAATGCAGAGTGAAGCATAAATCGTGTATTTCTTTGAAACACGACAGAATCCAAATTTTAGAATTGAAAGGGATTATGTAGATCATTCCTAGGCGAAGGGTGGCAACTTGAAATGCCTCAGGGGCTGGTCAGATAACAAGAACACAAGGGTGAAAGTTGAAATGCAGTGATGGGGTCTGTAGCCAAATGGGAATGCATGCTTCTCTGAAACAAACAAACACAAACAAGATAGAAACATTATTCTGGATGGCCAAGGGAGGTGACTGCCTTCCCCAGGCCACATCACTAGCTGGAGGCAGAGCTAGACATGACTTCAATCATCTAACAAATATATGAGAAATTACTCTCCACCTAGCACCACTACATGCTCGACAAAAAGAACACAGTGGACAGCACAATGCAATGACCGACACAATACAATGTTCAACTCAATGCAATGCAGTGATTAACACAATGCAGTGATGGAGGCAAAAATGGTTTTTGGCCTTTGAGGGCTACAGTTTAGAGGGAGAGACAGAAATTAAACAAGCACTTTTGAATCTAAGAGAATATGTACTAGAACGAGGAAGTTGAACATATGGCAGAGACACACTGAAGGAACACCCACCCCAGAAGTGTCCTCAGGCATCTGTATATGAACAGCATGTGTGAGAGGAGAAGGAACCAGACAAAAACATCAGAGCAAGAACGAGAAACAAGGCTCATGGGAAAAGTGGCTTTCAAGACATTTATCAGTTCTTTCATTGTAGCGTTAACACATTCTTTTTCACACATTATATTAATACTCTGTGGATTTATCTATCTTTAATGAAGGTCCTTCTCTGGTAGCTTTAAAATTGCCTGGTTCTGGAGGAATCTACAGGGTATTATATCTATATTAGAAGCTAGATGCACGTAATTTGTGCATGGGTAGGGTCCCTAGATCTGGCCGATCTGTGGGGCAACTGGCGGGGCGATCAGCCCCTCCTTCCCCCGCTGGCACCCACCTTGGCTGTCCTGGTGTCACCTGCTTGCTGGCCCTGTCCCCCGCGGGCACCTGCCTTGGCTGGCCTGGGGCCTGCAGACTAGGGGCAGCGCCTGCATCGGGTGTCTGTCCCCTGGTGGTCAGTGCTCATCATAGCAACGGGTCATTCCACCCATCTTTCCGCTGTTCAGTCAATTTGCATATTAGGATTTTATTATGTAGGCTTAGATGTGGGGGACATGCAACAAGTCTGGCTAGTGCCTTTCTTCAAGGAGTGACAGTCTAATGGAGAAATAAAGCATCTATCCCAGTATTTACACTAGAAAATAGTATGTCAGACTCATGAAATAGTGACAGCAAAACTGAAACTGCCTGAATGAGTAATTCAGATAATGAATACAATTGGATCTGACACATTATTTTGTGAACAGTAACTAGAACATGCTTTTAAGAACCTCAACATTAATTTTTCTATGAATTATCTTTCCTACAAAGAGGTTAATATAGTGTTTTTAAAAGGCTTTCTTCTATATGTTGGTGGTGTCTGTCATCCTCCTCCCCTGCTGTGACTTTCACATATAAAGATGAATATATTTGCAGTCACTAAAAGTAGTTGCAAGACCTTTGATTACCATATGTAAAATATTGCTGTATTTCTAGCATTTGAAAGTAACGGAGAAAATGTTGACTAATTAATGAGTTATTTTAATGCCTGGAATTCAAACAAATTAAACAACAAAGACTGACATAGATGGCCCAGCTGACATGGCTCAGTGATTAAGCATCAACCTATGAACCAGGAGGTCATGGTTCGATTCCCACTCAGGCCATATGCCCAGATTGTGGACTCAATCCCCAGTATGGGGCCTGCAGAAGGCAGCCAATCAATGATTCTCCCCATCATTGATGTTTATATCTCTCTCTCCCTCTCACTTCCTTTCTGAAATCAATAAAATTATATTTTTTAAAAAAAGATTGACAGAGGCAATCTCCTAACTACTAGAAGATGAAATTTATTCTTGTAAGGAAAAAAAAAAACACTTAAAAATCCTAGAAAATACTGTATATGAATGCTCAAGATGTTTTCTGTTTCAGCTATGCATATACAGTGCTGTTCATATACTAAGACACACTTCATTTTGTCTGAAATAATTAAACAACAATAAAGTAGACTCATCAGATTTTGTTTCAGTCAATTTTGCATAAATATACCAATTCTTAACATTATAATCATCTATTATTGTCTCACTGTTCTAATTAGTTTACCTAAAATATCTCATTTATTCCCCACAACTCTACAAGCTGGATGCTATTGTTACTACTATTTTATAGAATTCAAACACAAAACATAACTTGCCCAAATGCACACAGCTAATAAGTGCTAGTCAGAATTCAACCTAGAAGTGTGATTTCCAGAGCATACACTCTAGTCCTCTGTTAAATAACAGTATCAAATACTTTATTTGGAGAGAATAAGACTGAATTTTCAGTAATAATGCCCTTTGTGGACATTAAAATTACCAGATATTCGTTAAAATCTATCATACATTACAAGAAATATATTCAACATAATTGGAATTTCTCGGTAAGATAAAAAAGAAAATACAAGTTTTGTGCTTTTATGCTCCGTTCTAAGTTCAGTACTAGTGACTGCTAGGGAGTAACTGATCACTAAAAAATGTACACTTCCTGAATACTGTTTCCTCTCCCATGGCCTGACACCAACAAAAGGGGAGGGGCATCCTTATGGGCTGGGAAAGATAGCCTAGCCACACAGCAAAAGGCAAAAAAGAATGCAAGTCTACAATACTAGGGGTTTAAATGTAAAATGACTTAACATATAGATGTTATCAGTCATTTTAGAAGTGGTTTCTTAGCTATGACAACAAAAGCACAAGTGGAAAGAGAAAAATAAATTTGTATAAAATGAACTTAATCAGAATTAGAAACTGTTGTGTGTCAAGGGACATCATCAAGAAAATGAAAAGGTAACTCACAGAATGGGAAAACATATTTGAAAACCAAATATCTGCAAAGGGACTTGCATCCAAAATATGTAAAGAACACTTTAAATATATAAAAGTACAACAAAAAACAAGTAACCCAACTTAAAAATGGGGTAAGGATTTGAGGAGTAATGTTTCTGAAGAAAACATACACATGGCCAATAAGCATATGAAAAGATGCAACTCAAAACCATGAGAAGCTATTTTACTGGCACCAGGATGGGGAAAACAAAAACAACAAATAACGTCCTATGAAGGGTACAGAGAAATGGGGACCCTCACATTGCTGGTGGGATTGTAAAATTTCACCGCTAACTTTGAAAACGTTTTGGCAACTCTTCAATGCATTTAACAGAGTTACTATATGACCTAGCAATTCTACTCCTAGGTAATATACCCAAGATAAATTAAAACATATGTCCTACACAAACTTGTATGTCAATATTTATAGTAGCATTATTTGTAATAGCCATGAAGTAGAAACAACCCTAATATCCATAAACTAATGAATGAATAAATAAGAAGCCAATCACAAACGACTACATCTTATATACTTCTATTTGTATGAAATGTCCAGCATAGACAAATCTATAGAGACAGAAAATAGATCAGCAGCTGCCTAGGGCTGGTGGGTTGAGGAGTAAGAGGATAGAGAGTGATTCTAATGGGTACAGAGTTTTTGTGGGGGAGTAATGAAAATGTTCTATTAGATTGTGGTGACGGCTGCACAGCTCTGTGAACGTACTAAAACCCACTGAGCTGTACATTTTAAATGGGCAAATTTTATGCTATGGGAATTATATCTCAGTAAAGCTTTTAAAAAAATAATAAGCTGGTTTCCTCAAAAGTTGATTCTGCAAAAAAATCTCTATGTTGGCAAGTTCATTTTTAGCATGATATACATAGTTATAAACCATCTTGACATCTATGTTATATTTCCAAGAAAAGTTAACTTATTTCTAAAGGTCATACTCAGATACCCTAACATCCCCTGGGAAGTTAAAGTGTTGTCCTAGGTAAAAGTTGTCCTTATTTTCTCAGGCATAAATCTACTTTCAGAAACTTGTCTTAGCTCACCTGAGTCAGTGCTGAGCAAGGCATATATAATTTGAGAATTCCATTCCTGGTAGGAAGTAAGGTCTAGATTCAGCTCAATTAGGTCATAATAGAGACAGAGCAGCCACTCATTTCAATCAGTATAATCCCCAGACAGTAAAATCAAAGTAACAATAACCTAAACTTACAAAATTAGCATAGTGTACTTTTGTATTTTTCTAGGCAGAGGGACCATGGCTTTCATCTGATTTTAAAAGTTTTCTTTTCTTTTTCTTCCTTCCTTCCTTTCTTTTTTTACTTCAACATACTAAGAACCACTTGTCTGAGAACATAAAACTAATTTTTTTCCTCACCGGGAATTTCTTTTGTTTTTATCAGGGCACATTTCATCTGGTCAGGGGACACATATCCTAAGGCATATGAAACAACATAGCTGTTGCAAATTTGGATGTACTTAGCTTTAGTTTTTACCATAACACTGATTGCTTAAGATTACTTAAGAAACACAAATGCTAATGCATGCCATTATTTCTAAAATACCCACAAAAATAATCAGCTTTAACTATTGAGCCTGCACTCTTCTCTTAAAAATTAGGATGTGGTTCTCCATATCAATGCTTCAAAAAGACAAAAAAAATAATAAATTTTATTATAAAAAATGGATGTCATTCAGGGAGAGTTCATAAACCCACAGAAATGATTGCCTATAGTAGCAGTGTGATTCTATGTGAACCTCAGAGAAGAGAAAAAATAAATCACTCATAACTTAGTCATTGCTTTCATATGCACAGTCATTTTCCTGTAACTGATATGAATATCTCTAGGAGAAATATAAGATGTCAGAAGTATTTCTGACTTACACTCCACTAGCAATACATTTTTTTAACATCATGCATTACTCATTTAGAAAATATTGCACTGAGTTCGGCAGATCTTCCATATGTTGACACATTTTATTATAAAAAAATCATTACCCATGCCTGGCCGGTATGGCTTAGTGGTTGAACATCGACCCATGCACCAGGAGGTCCTCAGTTTGATTCCCAGTTAAAGCATATGCCCGAGTTGAGGGTTTGGTCCCCAGCAGGGGGCATGCAGGAGGCAGCTGATTAATGTTGATGTTCCTCTCTCATCGATATTTCTATCTCTTCCTCTCCCTTCCTCTCTAAAAATCAATA